TTATTTGGTTTGTATGGAGAGAAATAAACGACCGGTGCTTCGAAGATCGAACATGGACGATAGAGCAGTTTAGAGAATTTTTTTATTCGACTCTGTATAGTTGGTTAACCGTTGCAACCACTAGTCCGATAGAAGGGTTGCCTAATTTTTTAGTGTTTTGTTCTTATTTAAACTGATAATGTACTTCTTGTGTATTATCTTTTGATTTTGATTTATAAAATTCCATGATTACCTATAAAAAAAAAAAAAAATTTTACTTTCTATCTTGGTTTCAGATCACGGTGTATTATCTTGTTTCAGGTTTGCTTCCAGGTTGTTGGCTTGGATCCTCAGCCGTGTTTTGGGAGCATCAGTTGGATTTCGTGTTGGTGGATGGAAATGTTTGAGAGATGTTGTTGTGAAGTTCAAAAAGGTTATTCTCAATTGATTTGATCTGTATAGTATCCTTTGATCAGTAAAATATATTGTTAAAATTGCATTATCTCCACCTGAGAAAGCAGGTTTGATGGGAAATTGAACCTATGAAGCCTAGCAGAGCTTGGTAAACGTATAGATCTGTTCTCTTCTAAAAGTCAAAAGTAATGTATCCAATTTCAATGTTGTAAATCATTGCCTCTATGTCATTGCTTTCTTCTGGTAAAGTCTTTGGAACATCTCTTTTGGCAGTTAAAGGTGAATCTTACTAAGTTAACCTATTTAGAGCCCTTCATAATAGTTGATAACTAAATTGCCATGTTTAGCAAATTCCATTGCTTGTTAAGCTATTCAATAAAGGACATTTCCTTCTCCTTACTGTGCTTTTTCCCTTCCTCTCTAATAAATTCTTCTGCTTTTATGTAAAAGAAATAAAAAGCCAAGGCTCGCACGAGTCATGGTTGATGAAATGATTCTTCACAGCATTTCGTTAGAATGGAGACAATTTATTCAATATGTGTAGAAACTTTTGTGGCCTTCCTTCGAATTATTGTTACTTTAATCATCTCTACTTTTGAGATTCTCTTTATTCTTCTTTTGCAAATTCGCTCAATTCTAGATAAAATATTGTATTCATTGTTTTATTTTCTCCCTGGCCTCCCTTTTTATCATGGTGCATGGTGCTTTTTGATGAATTCTTTCTGTAGGCTCTGCAAATGGTATTCCTAGTGTTGAGATAATGTAATTTCTGTCGGGCTAGTGTGTAATTAACTGCAGTGACTTCCATTTGTGCAGAAGCTGACACATGCAGATGTAATCACATGAATTTCTGCTCTATTCTTACAATCGTCCGTTTTCATCTGTTGGTTCTCATTTAATTAAAAGCAAACCATTATGCTTGAGAAATATTCTATCGTGTATCCTAGTGAGGGATGTAAGAAGATTCTTATTTATTAAGATCACAGATTTTGTGTAAAAAACTTGAGAGTGGCCATGCCACTATTAAATTGGATCACCGTTTGACTATTTTGTTCAGAGCGGTCTGTTTGGTTCATGTACAAAATGGTCTTACCCTCTTTCTTACCCCTCCAGAAAATAAAGAAAAAGAACAAGTATGACTTCAGACTTGAAATCCCATAATATCATATGTGTCGCGTTTAGGAGGATAAAATTANTATGGTGTTATGGAGGGGGGTGGTGCTCGGGCGAGGGTCGTGGTTCTTATGGGGTGAGCTTGTGGAGGTATATCAGGAAATGTTGGAGTGAATTTCAAAATAGACTGGCTTTTGTAGTGGGGAATGGTTGTTGGTGTGGAGATCAATCGCTTAAAGCTCGGTTTTCTTCTTTACATCGCATTGCTTTGGAGCTTTCAGTTATGGTGAGTAATGCTATGGCTAATCACAATGGGAGTCCTAGCTGGAACATTGCTTTCGGAAAGGGCTTGCATGACTGTGAATTGGATGATTATGCACTATTTTTGGCCTCTTTGTATGATGCGCACATTCAGATAGGAGTGGACGACTGTAGTAGGTGGAGGGTGGCACGGAATGGTATGTTTTCTGTTCGTACTTATTTCAGATCCTTATTGGCACCTGTGGAGAGTTCATTCCCCTGGGAAAAGGCATGGCAATGTAAATTACCTCCAAGGGTGACGTTTCTACTGTGGACGATTATGAGGGGACAGGTGTTAACGGCGGATAATCTTCGAAGAAAAGGATGTTATATTACAGAATGGTGTTGTATGTGTAAGAGGGATGGAGAGACCATCGATCATCTGTTCATTCATTGTGACGGTGTCCGTTGGCTGTGGAATGATATCCTGGCTTCGCAACATATGAGTTGGGTGATGCCAAGGCGTACAGATGAGGTGGTGCGGGCATGGAAGAGAAAGTTGCGTGATAAGAATTGCAAGCTTGTTTGAGATCTCATTCCAGGTTGCATTATTTGGTGTGTATGGAGAGAAAGAAACAACCGGTGCTTTGAAGATCGAACACGGACGATAGAGCAGTTTAGAGAATTTTTTTATTCGACTCTGTATAGTTGGTTCACCGATGCAACCACTAGTCCGATAGAAGTGTTGCCTAATTTTTTAGTGTTTTGTTCTTGTTTAGACTGATAATGCACTTCTTGTGTATTATCTTTTGATTTTGATTTATAAGATTCCATGATTACCTATAAAAAAAAAGTCTCATCTAGATGTTGTGTACTTTAATTTTGAGATATCTTAAGAGTAGTTTCGGTAACTGAATTCTTTCAAAAGAATGGTGATCTAAAGGTGGAAGCCTACACTAATGCTGATTGGACCATTTTTATCACTACTAGAAGATCTGTTACTAGCCATGTTTGTCACGATATAGCCTTACAGGAGACTCAATTGCTAACTTTTAAATCATTGCGGATGATCTTTAGTCAGAACATTCCATGGATTCCTTGAGCACCATTGCTCTAAACACAGCTTCCGCTCTTGAACATGTAACATCTTGTTTTCTTACTTCATGCAACAAAAGTCTCTCCAAGGTACAATGGATATGTATAAAAAATGGCTTAAGTGTTTATAAATAATTTATAAACATTAGCCAAACATAGGCTAGGTCATAATTTAAGTGAGGGGATCTGGTTATTTAGGGAAGTTTTATGATCTGGTTTATTCTAGGATTCTCTTTTTAAATTTTTAGGACCTTTTTTTTTTAATTCTAGTTTCCATTCTGATGTGTAGGAGTGAAATCTATTGTTTTATATATGTGTTGTTAACTATTCATTGTGAATAAGACAAATTCGATTTTCCCTAGAATTTCCACATAAATTAATGTCAAATGGAAGAATTTGAGGAGAACGCGTATATTTAGTAGCCATTGATCATGCATATCCTCTTCATGCCATTCATAACCTATTACATCAGTTTGAATGCAGACTGCTGGTTGTTGCGTTTTTTTAATATCGCAAATGTACGATATCGTAACAAGTAATATAGTGGACCTTTGAGTCCGGATTATCATTCCCACGAGGACTATACTTTAATCTTAATCTACTTTTTCTAATCCCTATTTGACAAAAACAAGTAAATAATTATGATNTAATCTTAATCTACTTTTTCTAATCCCTATTTGACAAAAACAAGTAAATAACTATGATGATTTTGACTAACTACTTTTAACAGATTGAAAATATGAAAATGTTGCAAACAATGGATAATTGAAAATTCAAATATGCGATGAATATTAGGGAATAACAATTTCATCTATTGTTCACCTTTATTCTTAATTCAAGATTCATAATCTAATGTAGTGTTCGATCAAATTCTTCTATTGTATTCAATTTACCCCTCTCGAGTTCTCATTGAGCCTATTTAACTATTTCAATTCCATATCTCTATGCGAATCAATTTTAGTTAAACGAAACACTAGATCTTAGAATTCAAATTATGACCGCAATAATTAATATAGGTATCTCTACACGTTATACTAATTTACCGAATTTTATTATATGGTCTAAATCTCAAACTCACCTCTCGATTC